TATGTATGTATACTGTTTCCAATTCTCCTTCCAAAGTTAATGATGAGTTGCCCACCTCATGCAGCTCCACCCCTGTGGAAACTTTTTCCTCTCCTCTGACTTTTCACATTCTTCCTCAGTGTTACTGCAATGTAGTCTCCATCATTTCTTAGATCACAGCCATTACTGAACACAAGTTGCCTGCAAATGAAGCCTATCCTCTTCCTCCTTCTTTGGCTGATTGCACAGGATTCTTCATTTGACCATTGGCATGAGCTGATGGAGGAGAGCTGTGCAGCTCCACCGTGAATGTCCGGAGTAGTCTTGCACTCTAATGATGCATAGATTCAATTTAGGAAGGATCACTCCTGGTTCTGTCCTTAGGTTTTGATGTGTCTGACAGCATTCAGCTTCCATACACAGTCCCTTGGATTCCTATAGCCAAGGATTATCGATACCAGGGCCCAGAAACAGGGCCAGGTCTGTTTCTAGAGAGGCATGCAATGTTCTGATACAGACAGCGTGACCCTGTTCCAGAACCCCATGGGCTGACTGGCAGCAATTCGCCCATGGGCGCTGGCCTCACACCTTACACTGCGTCCTTTCCCGCGTGGACACCTCTGAGACCCTAGGGCCTGTCAGACGAGATGGCCCAAGAGCTGCTTGCACAGCAGGTAGTCCTGCTGCAGATCTCTCTCCCGTTCCTGACCTCTGTCTAAGCTCTCAGCCTTCTGTGACACCTGATGTATGGACTACAGCATCATCCTAGGGGTTGAATGCTTTCTCCCAGGAGCCAAAGTGGGCCACCTGGTGCACCAGTTCCTTCTTGTGGAGGGGTGCTCAAATTCAGTGATTTATCTTCTTCTTTGGAGAGGCATATCTACTGAAAAACCTCACTAAAGTTGGCTGGGTCTTCTTAAGGTTTATATCTCACTTTGGAGTAAGTGTTTTTCTAAGCCCTCCAGTGTTCTGGCTGCCTTTTACCCATTCTGTCCTCAGTTCTTGCATCTGAGCAAGTTTTCAGAACATTAACCTAGTGACAAAATAAACAGGTCTGGAGCAGGAAGTATCATGCAACACAATAATGAGTGTGTACTGTGATTACATCCCCATTCCTTTCTCGAAGGACTTTCCTGCTATTTCCTCAGGTAAGGGAGAGGATTACACTTGAGAGAGGATTTACCCAGAAATTTTAAGAGCTAACGAACACAATAGCTTGAATTAACAATGATACCAAAACACTGAAGTATAATTAGACTTCTGTGTTAGAGTTGAGGGATTATGGAGACCATGTAATAAATCTACCTGTGGGTCTACCAGCTCGACAGACCCAACCAGTATTCATCTTTCCATTCTTGGAGTGCATAATTGGATCTGATATACGTAGAAGCTGGAGTAGCTTGCATTCCGCTTCAAGTCCTTGATGTACGTTATATGAGGTATCATGGTGGTAAGGCCACGTATAAACCTGTAAAAGTGCTCTAAGGGAAGACAGTAAATCAAAGATAACTTCATAGACTAGGTGAGGGAAATCAGTGTTACCTTTAGAGGTCTTAAGGATGTTGCTGTGGCTGTGTCTGGATGACCCCCAAAGCCTGATGCAGTCATAGGTGAGGCTTTTTGGGAAGTGGCTGGATCAAGAGTGTGTGACTCTGGGATGAAGGATGTGGTGCTGGGACTGATTCCTACTGCAATACTAGTATTAAGGGTGCTCTACCCTGGGTGTGAGTGCTGCCTGCCCTAAGGGTGGGGAGCCTGGATAGAATATAAGGGACAGGAGAGCTGCTTTTGTCTCTTGCTGCTTGTTTCACTACAGAACTGAGCAAAGCATGGTGACATTTTGGGGGGGAAATCACCCTTATCTTTATGTTCCTGCATTATTGCCTTCTGGGTGCAGATTTGAGGTAGTACTCATTTGGGCAGATCTTCTATTTTTGCCTGTTCTTTTAATCATATTCACAGTTTCCTATGAGCTCAAACAACCCTGGTTGCCTTTCCAACTTCTCTGGTTAAGATAATCTCAGAGTTTATCTTCTAATGATTAAGCAGTGCTACTTGGACTTCATTGTCCCCATATTCCTGCGTGATGGCACTGGGAGGTGAGGCCTTTGGAGAGTGATTAGATCCTGAGGTTGGAGAACTCCCTTGCACCCTCAGCTATCTGAGGACATGGTGAGAAGGCTTACATCTGTGAACCAGAAAGCGAGTCATCTCTAGACACCAGGTCTGCCGGTACTTTGACATTGGACCTTCCTGTTTCCAGAATTGTAAGAAATAAATGTGCTTGTCGGGAAAGTCCTGCCTGGGTCACCTCTGTTGATACTTCAGTACTCCTACTGTCCTTTGGTCCTGGGCTAGGATCAAGTGACCCACTTCGTTGTCCCTTAGAAATGACAAGCAAATCCTCCAGCCATGGCCTGTGGTATCCAGAGGCTCACAGCCTTCCAGAAGGAGGGATCCAGTCTGTCCACAAGGTAAAGCCACCTAGACCAGCAGAGATGCTGGCTGCGAGGGCGGGGAATCTACAGTAACATTAGAGATGGAGACGGTGATTATCAGTGAAGTCTCGAGAGCAGCTCTGGCAGAGAGGTGTGTGGTGTTCCCTCCTTAGGAAAGTGAGCTGGTCTAGAACTGATTTACACTATCACAGGAGCCGGAGCAAGGTGAGGGGTGAATGATAGCGGTTGCTGTGTGGCACCATGGAAACGCTTGCCCACCAATGCCCTTATAGCAGTGATCTTGCTTCTCCAGCTGCTACAGTTGTTGGAGGCTGACAACCCTCAACCAAGTGCCTCTCAGACACACCCCAGTTCTCGTCTTTCCGAGTTCATGCTCACATCCAGTGAAGGGCTTGAGGGGCCTGTCCCTTGCCCTAACTGGTGACAGCTGGGGAGGATCACGCAGTCAGCACCGAACTGTGTGCGTCTCAGTTGAGGCCCCCCGGACGCTGACCTAAGCGGACTCTCCAGTCAACTCCTGACATGCCAATCTCAACTTGAGTGGTTCCCAGAAGAGTTGACCTGTGACACTGTGTTTTGCTATACAACTGGGGGCTTTGTGTTCTTTTGTTTTTTGGTACCAGGGATCGAACTCGGGTTCTTGCGCTTGAGAGACAGGCGGCAGAAACACTGAGCTAAATCCCCTGCCCAACTGGGGACTTTTTAAATGATTTCTTAGCATGGGCACATTTGTTTCAGTCTATGGCTTCTGGTGTTTTATGTCATGCTTAGAATGCTACTTCCCAATCCCCCAATATAGATATATTTACCCATATTATAGTAGAGTACCTGTAGGGTTTTCTTTAAAAACTTCAAATCTTTCATACATCTGTAATTTGAATGTGGAAAAAAGAGGTAGGTACTCGAGTTTGCTCATTGTTTTTCAGATATGGGCCATCTTTATATTATTTATATTATTATATAAACAAGATATAATTATTCTTATATTGTTTATCCTTCAAAACTTTTCTGAGTAAGGCTTATTTAGCCTCTTCCTGCATTCTAGTTTCCAATGCTTCCCCTGCATCATCCTCATGGAAATAAAACCATGGTTGCTTTCTAATTTTCTGTAGGTTAGGGCATCACAATTTATGGTAAAGATGTGGGGTTGTTTTCTTTTTTGGTACATATAGGGAAGTGGTTAAGTATCATTCTGAGGACTTTATGACAAAGATGTCAGCTGTTCAGACACCATTTTTGTTTCCTTTTTGGTCGTTGTTATTACTTGATTTTCTTCAGGGTTAGAAGTGTCACAGGATGCCAGGGCCAACACTTAACAAACTTTTCAAGGAAGAATGAACTCAGGCCTCCAGGCTTGCTGCACTCCAAGGCAGGGCACTAAGATCTCCGGGATTCAACTACTGACCGGTTATATTACAGAAGACAAATCT